ATTTTCTTCTTAAATTTATGCTAAAGTAAAAATTACACACTCGCTTTCTTTACTATTTCAATCCTTCGTGATTTTATGAAGAAGTTTGTGATAATAAGAGTGAGGTCATTTTTCTTTACGATAATACGTAAGTAATGAAGTGTGACTCTGAAGCTTAGACGAGGAGAAGGGTCCACGCATTCCAACAAATACCATGGATATAAGTCAAAAGACCGAAAATTTGGGTTGGTAACTACCCCCACCTATGCTGTGTGTGTCATCTAATAAATTGTTATCAGTCCGTCAAGAGGAAATGTATACATCACGAGGTCAAGTTGTTTGATAAAAGGTTTTATTCAGAAGAAATTGTTGTCTATACAATTAATGTAGAACAAGTCGTGCATAAATCTTTATGTCAAATAAATATGTTTTATATTTGAAGTTAGGAAAAAATGTTTACTCACAAAGAGGTGAGATTCACACCTTTACTTTTTTTTGTCAACTCTCTCTCCTTCTTTATCTATCTTTTTCTTTCTCTTAAAATGATATAACTTTACATCTTTTAAAATGACACACATTTCCCCCTTAAAGTTATGATATTTAAGTTTTTTTGAGTGATTTAATGCTCACAACATGTATATATATGTACTTGGTGTACACAAAGATCTCTCCCTACCATGATCATTTTTTTAGCACATAATCTACAATATATTGACCATTTTTTATTTTCTTAATTAGCGTGCATGGTTGGTGATATTGGCCTTCTTCATAACTATGCCTTTTTTTTCTTATTTGTTAGTAAATATGTTATTCTTTTTCTTTAATGGTTAAGTATAGGTTAGAAAGCACTCTGGACCTACTCTTTTATATGTATATATATATATATATATATATATATATATATATATATATATATAAAATCAGGAAACGTATTTCAATGCTTAATCAATAAACTAATCTGCTAACGAAGCCGATCTGAGAATGGAACGATCTAGAATTAATTAATTAATTAAGCGTATATAATCAACAAGTTCATTTCCGGTCCGTGTCTTAGATACTAAACCAAGTTTGTGGTCTAATTTTAGGAAGGCATGCACGGATCCTTATATAAGTTATCTGCACTAAATTCAATATGACATCGTTTTGGGACGAAAATCTTTTATAATCTTAATTTATTTCAAGGTTATTATAGCCTTTATAATTATAATTTTTTAATATTTCAATCCCAAAATGACGTCGTTTCGAGAGTAAATGCAGAAAACTTATCTGCAGTAACTGCAGAAATATTTTTCTGATATATATATATATATATATATATATATATATATTTCTGCAGTTACAGCAGATAAGTTATCTGCATTTTTTTCGAAACGAAGTGCATTTTTCCTAAAACGACGTCGTTTTGGTATTGAAATCTTAAAAAATTATAAATATAAAAACTATTATAACCCTGAAATAAATTAAAATTATAAAAACACCATGATTATCACCCAAAACGACGTCGTATTGGGCTTACTGCAGATAACTTATCTGCAGTAACTGCAGAAAAAGCGAACTCATATATATATGGGAAAAACTATTCTTATGCTACATGAGATACAAAATTTCTTCTACACACCCTCCGATAACTGTGTCACTTTTTTTTCCAGATGGTGGAGCCCACAAGTTTGTCTCTATGACATGAGATAATTTATCTCCTTTAACATGATATTAATAAAACCATATATATATATATATATATATATATATAGGTTTACATTTCTGCAATTGTTGTACGTGCAGCAATCAAATACTTGTCATATATATACTTGAAAGCATTAAATGCAGGGAATCATAACCATACAAAGGATGAAAGCATTAAATGTGAGAAATCATAACCACACACCTGTCGTTGTTGTACGTAAAGCGACTGCAGAAATGATTTTACCATATATAACATGTCGTTGTTGTACGTAAAGCAGCTGCAGAAATGATTTTACCATATATATATATATATATGGAAAAAAACGAGTATCTACGGACCCATTGGTTTATGCGTCAGCCTTTTTTTTTTTTTTACATATATAAGACATGATCTTCTTACACGGAATAAGAATAATAAATCTTATACTTAATATTAACTGTTGATTTTCGTATATTTAATGGTTATAACTTATTAAGAATTAATAATTAATAAATAAAAATAACATAATCAATTGCAGTCGTTTGATAGATGGAAATCAACGGCTAAGATTGAGTATAAGATTTATTAGTCTCATATATATATATATATACACACACACACATAAGGGTGTAAGATAAAGTTATCTTCACTTAACCCAAAACGATATCGTTTTGGGGTTAGAAGATTAAATTAGAATAAATTTAATAATATCTAGCTTTTATTCAATAATAATGTTTAGAAGATTAAAAATTTTAATAATAAAAACTAACATATTCCTAGAATAAATTGGAATTATAAAAATAACTTTTATTCAACATAAAAATAACGTCAACGTTTTGGGCTGGAAATAAGTTATCTCTATTGATTGGAGATATATTAAACCCTATATATAATGCCTTTTGGATACTAAACATTAGATATCCAGCTGTAATCATATCTAGCTTGTGAGAATAACATGTTTAATATAAATAAAAAACTAATCCAGAGTTAACAATTGACCCTCCCATACCAATTATGTTAGATATAAAATAACTTATAAGTTTTTTACATAATAATTTATATCTTTGGGTGAATTAGTTTTTAAAATGATATCAGAATCTTCATGATGAAGTGTTAGTTTAATTAGAGGGATTTTCTTGACCGTATGAGCTTGTGCTTTGCTCTTTAAGGAATGCCAATTTCTTCCGTGGTTCAGTTTTCACAAAGTACCAAACATGTTTTACTTCCTTCCTGACTGACTTCTGTTTGTTCATATTTGACGTTTTTCCATATATGACTGACTCTAAAGCGCCCACTATCGATGTGAAGTGAAAATAGACAAGGCAGACGAAAGTAGTTGAGTCGGACACTATCTAATTAATGAGAATATTTGAAAGAAAAAGAGTTCTGATACACCAGAAAATTAAGCCAAACATTATATTGTTAGGTTTGGAAGAGCCCAAAAACATCAGGGACTTCCGGAGTCATTATTTTATCCATTTTTCTTATTGTTGGACGTTTTAAATTTACATATTTACTTAAAACCCACACTAAGTCTCCAATAGTAATAATCGTTATAAATTCAAGGGGTAATGCGTTAAGAACACTGAAATTGATTCATGTAAGATTTTGCTGGTGATAAATCCAATGTTGTTTGCATTTTGCTTTAATTAGCACAGTGCTTCCACAGAACATTAACCTCTTATATTACATGAGATTCATCTTTTAAGTTATATTTACATAAAAAATATGTCTTTTTAAAAAAAAAAAATTGGTGGCTCTATTTTATTTATTTCGTAACATAAGATAATTTGTCTCCTATTACGTGAGAAAAGAGATAAGTAAAGTCCTTAGTTAAATACATAGATGTTTTACCCGTGTAACGTCAATATCTATCCCTTTTAAGTTTAACATATCTGTATGATCTATTTTCTTTGTAGCTCTGACCAATAAAGTAATCTAAACCATTTATTCTTTAGCACATTTAGTTATCCTTCCAAATATGCTGAAGTCGTGGCTTATTTGGTTTCTTCTATATGTGGTTATATACACATACGTTTATCTCAGTAAATTTCCACAATTTGCATTAATGATAGCCAGTTTCATGGACACAACTGAGCTGGGAGTTATAATTTGTAAGGTGGAAAAATAGAGGAAAAACAAAGTTGTGGTTTTGGAATCTCTTGAGATCGTTGTCCATTCCTGCATATCAGGAATGTCAAATAGATAATATCTCAGTAATTTATTATTATTATTATTATTATTCATATGTTTATTGATCACCCAATTAATCTGATTCAAATCGGATAGAATCACGTGGGCAATAAAGTTTTGTTTGTTGGATATGATTCATACTTCGCATGTTGATGAGAGTTCTTAGTTGTCGATGTTAGCAGAAAGACAATTAGGTCCCGCTCCCAGGTGAGCGGGCGACGGTTCGAGAGGCGGTGCTCCCTGGTCCATAGAGGTTAGGTACTTTGTAGACATCTAAATTATTGTAAATTTTCCTTTTCTGTGTAGTTTGAGCTTGGACTCATGAATTGCTGCTATTAGAATTTTTTTCTAATTTATTTATATTCTCTTTGTAAATCGAGTGAGCGAAGTGAACATAGTACAGACATGATAGTCTAAATTGGGTGAAAAAAGTAAATCACTCAGTCTATTCTCTCTTTTTTCTTTTTTCTCAGTTCGTTTGAGATTTGTGTGATGTCAATTTCTAACAGTGTCTACTAAGTTTTTAACACAAATGCAAACTAAAAATGAATAACTCGACTAATTGATCAACGTAATTGGTAGTATCTCATTAAACTCTTTGAACTAAGGGAAGCAATAGTTTCATCACATCAGATGGTTATCTTGCTCATTAGAAGTAAAGACTTGTAGCAATCGCCCTCACTGTATCATAACCTGTAGGTAAAGGACACGTAAACTTGGTGATGACGAAATGGGTGAGTAAGAGTGAAATCAGGGCAACGGATTTGTAATGAAAAATGTTGAAAAGTGTAATCATTTTTCATATTATTTTTATACTTTTTTGGATGCTTATATGTAGCTCTGCCCTTGGGTCACCAATCTTTCAGCATCAACCATTTTATGCAGCTGGAAACACCAGAACACCCCATATTAGTTCCCACATAGCTTTCAACCCATGGTGGAGCCACCAACCTTCTCCTGTTTCTCTCTGCCTCCTGAGAGTTTTTTCTTTTATGCATTATTTTATTGCATATATATATAAATATATATATTAATCAGGCTAGAAAAGGAGAGGGCTTTATATAAAGGTGGGTGGGGCTTTTGGGGTCATTACAAGCTAGTGTTGGTGAGACTTTTGCATTAGTTTGGAAGTTTGCAATTGTAGCTAGTTAGTGTTGTTGTGTTAGTGCTATGGGGAGGCAACCTTGTTGTGACAAACTTGGGGTGAAGAAAGGTCCATGGACTGCTGAAGAAGACAAGAAGCTCATAAAATTCATTCTCACCAATGGCCAGTGTTGTTGGCGTGCTGTGCCAAAGCTTGCTGGCCTTAAGCGTTGTGGCAAGAGTTGCAGGCTTCGTTGGACTAATTATCTTCGACCAGACTTAAAAAGAGGGCTCCTCACAGAAGCAGAGGAACAGCTTGTTATTGATCTCCATGCCCGTCTTGGAAACAGGTTATTTATTTTTCACTAGCTGAGCCTCATGCATTGCATGTTCAACAATGAAACCCCGTTCGTTAGTTTGGTTTTTCCTTTGAACATGTTTTAAATAACTCACAGGTCCTTAATTGCTGTTACCCACAAGTCTGTACCATTAATAATGTTGAAGAAAGGTGGTGTGCATTTAAAATCATGTTTTTAAACTAGGCTTACTTATGGCAGAAGCAATTGAATACTTCGCTTGGTTTACTAAGTAGATATGTGAACATATTTTATAAATTTCAAGATAGTAATAGCATCTATTCTTAATAACATATGGTATATATAAATTTGAAATCAGAAGTTCATTGGCCCGCTTAATTAATGTTCAATGCAAAAATGTTAATAAATTGTCATTAGGTACAAGATAAATAATAATATTAATTCAATTGAAGGTATTACCTAAAGCAATTATATGTTTAATTTGATCTGTGCATATCTTTGCCACAAATAAAGACTTCTACATCAAGCTTATCTGTGAATGCAGCAACCTAACCTACCTAATCGGTTTTGATATATGGGATTGCTTTCTCAGGTGGTCCAAGATTGCTGCCAGATTACCAGGAAGGACAGACAATGAGATTAAGAATCATTGGAATACCCATATCAAGAAAAAACTCCTTAAGATGGGTATTGATCCTGTTACTCATGAACCTCTCAATAAACAAGCTGCATCCCAGGATAGTTCATCCCCTACAGAGCATTTGCCACAACCTGGCAATAACCATAAGGTCAAGGAAACTGATGGAGTTCTCAACTCAGATGAGAATTCAAGCTCATCACTAGCTGAAAATTCTTCTGGGGAAGAATCCCTTTTGTTAGATAGCATTTGCAGTGATGACTCTCTAATGAATAGCATGTGGCTAGATGAAACTCCATTGGTGGAAGCATTATGGGACACCACACCTAAAGCAGAGAATCCTAATAATGACATGGGCTTGCTGCCATCTTGGGAGGATAATTGTGCTTGGCTATTGGACTGTCAGGACTTTGGTATTCATGATTTTGGGTTTAATTGTTTCAACGAGATTGAGACAAATTCACTGCAAACTATAGAAATGAAGGGAGAGAAGCATTAACATGCAATACATCTGATGAAGGGAATTGTCTTAAGAAATCAGAGTAAGATATCAAAATCTGTATATGTGACAAAATACCATGGGCTCAAATTCAGGTTCCTGGTGTTAAATTTTATCTAGCTAGTGTTTTACAGAATGTTCTTGGACGGTGGAAGGTGAACCTTTCCTCTTATGAGGTTCCTCGCCAACCAAATCACAAAAGTGATAGCAAACCAAACCAAATCATCAAAATTCCACATTCAGTATTTTCTTCAAAATGTTGTAAATTTATGTGTACGGTAGGTACACAACAAATGGGAAATGTCACAAGTAATAGTGGGTTCTAAAACCTATTGTACAAAGATGTTTACTTTGAAAATAAATGGTAAAATCTTTTGTGGTTATAAATTCTGCTGTATTCTCTTCATTTCCTGTTTTCTGTCACATACTCACATTAGAGATACATAGACAAATACGTAGAGGACAAAGATCATTAATAACCATGAATTTTGAGCTTGCAGGTGGGGCACATGTGCTGATGGCAGAATAGCATCTTGACATGCTAATGAAGCACAATATAGTGCTTTGCTGTTTATTGTATGCACAATAACTCTCCCTTCCTTTTGCTGTGTCCACCACTCCCTACCTTTTTGTTAGTTCAACTCCATTATCATTTTCCTTTCTAAAATCATGTAAGAAAGCTATCAACTTGTTCTTAAGGGGATATAATATATGGATTGTATATTTGATGGCCCAAAAAAAGCTATTATGCATTTTAATTTAGAAATATCAGGTTTGTATTTGTAAAACATACAGAATGAAAAATATAAGATGGAATAGACAAACTTCTATGCTGTAACTTTCAATTAAGAAAATGCTATAAAAAAATCTCATAGATGTTAGAAAATTATTTTCAGTATTTAATTATCAATTATATCATGTTATTTAATTATTGGACAAATTAAGTAATCTATTAAGAAATACAATTAGATTTCACAATGAGTATCGGTTAAATGAGTAGATACACATATTGGCCTAATATGGTATAATAAGAGCTTTGGTGGGCACAATGATAAAGAATCCGGAAAAAAAGGTTATGATCTCCAATTTATCAAATTAGTTAGACAATTTTTTTTTTTCATCAAGAAATTCCTAATATGTCAAATCAATTAGATAGTTTTCTTTTTTCATTAAGATGTAACTTCCGCGTAAAGATTTGCACCGATAATTTTAAGGGTTCTATTTTTCTCATGTTGTAGGAGATAAGTATCTCCTACTATAGATACATAATATGGTGGAGCCCACCATCCATTAAAAAAAGGGAAAAAAAATGATGTCATAACTTTTTATGTGAGAGAAACATGAGATAGTTATCTCATGTAAAATGAGACAATGATTTCCCTAATTTTAACGAGGAAAACCATCAATTCCAAAATTCAAAGATATCAAGAAACTACTATTGTTGAGATATAATCAAGTATGCTTCAATTCTTTAAGTTTATTCGATGAGTATATAGGAATTTGTGGTAATGATTTTCAGCATGTGATATTAGGGAGAATCCTAACAATAGATACATCTCATCGAATGCATCCAAGGGAAAAAATTCAATCAACCTCCTGTCTTTCCCAAATCAAGTTGGATATCAATGAATTAAAGGATAGCCTTGGAAGTTACTATTTTTGTACTCGAACTTAGAAAACAAACTATGATAAGCTTTTCACGTCAACTAACTGGAATCGTTTTACCTTAAAAGACATTCAATCCAATATGAATGTATTTCAGCAGCAGAAGCCAGGAGGCCATGTACATATACTTATTTGCCGGTCAATCCTTATATAATCAAATTGTTGGGATATTTAAGTGTGATGAGTCCCACATTGGTTGGTAATGGGCTAGGTGAAGAGTATATAAGTGGAAGGGACCCATAAATCCAATACCTTAAAGTTTTGGGTTGAGACATGATATCGGATCCACTTGCTATGGTTGGCGTAGTCTTAGCTCATTGGTGGTGGCCCCCCGCCACGGCTGCTTTCCGTGGACCCGCCTGACATTGGTATCAGAGCCGGGTTGAGTGTGATGAGTCCCACATTGATTGGTAACGGGCTAAGTGAAGAATATATAAGTGGAAGGACCCATGAACCCGGAGTCATAAACCCTGGACCCGCGTGACAGAAATAAAGTGCTCATTTAAGAGTGAAATGCTTTTTATTTTTTCTCAAATTTTAATTATTTATACTTTTAAACTTAACCTTAATTTTAAATATTCATGTAATGCACAAAACTAATAATACAATATTAGAGAGTATAAAATTACATCCTAAACTATTTCTGTGATGGTAGTAGATCTGTTTTCCCCAAAGGGACAAAATATATCCATAATATAATAGTGATTTTATGAGATAGGCATATGAACCTAAGCTTATTAGAAGAGCTAAGAATCACAGGGAAGTGTAAGGTACTAATTGGTTCTGGCTTCGACTCTAAATTTTAATAAATTATATTTATTATATATATAATTATATAATTAATTATATTTTGTCCTGGGTCAAAATTATAATTTATACCGAGCTACAATTTATAATTTGACCCTATTGAAAACTTAAAATATTGTTGTTGAAAGATTTGGGTAAGTTATATTAGGTTATATGTTCAATTTTCATTTATATATAAAAAAAATTAGTAAAATTAAAAAATATTTAATAAAATTATAACTCTTCTTAATGCTATCTGCTCAGGTGCTTTGTATTTAATATAATTTAACTATATTATAATATAAATTAACTAAAATTAAAAAAAATACATATATAATTTTTGGCTCGTGCTCAAATTGGAGCCTGGCTCCGCCACTGTGTCAAAGGTGTCACTTTAATTACAAAAGAGAAATATATATAGGTGAAAAAATTCTCTAATAATAAATGAAAGAGTGAGCCGTAACTATTTTGATATTCTGAACCTCAGAAGTGTGAGACAACTATCATCACTTGATGCAATAAAAATTGTAATTGTTTCACTTTAAGGATGTAATCCATTTACGGACTTTAAAGTCTAGCCCAATAAATAGAGCCGTGTGACCGATTTAGCTCACATACCCTTTACACAATCGACTTAAACTATAAAAAAGTGCACTTAAAGCAGGGTGTCCGCACCCACTAAACAAATTGCGATTCAAGGAACTTTCTGAATTATGATATTTCTTTGACTCGATATGTCCCCATTAGTTTGAGTACTCAGTGGGGCTCATGATAGCACCCCAAAAAGAAAACAACACGATTAGCCAACTCACCCCAAGGCATAACACCTACAAGGATTGCATTTTTCGTTCCAGTGGGTTATCAGCGAGAATGTTGCAAAGCTATTGAAAATTGAACGGCTGTGTCTTCTCTTGTGCTGAAGTGTTACGCACTCCAAGTTTTGAGTACTCAGTTGAGCTAGCTTAACATTGTCCCTTGTCATTTATCTAAAACAATGTCTACTAGCTAGATCGCATATGATGATATTATAGGTTTATGTCACCACGGATTTTCTTGCGGCACAAGTTGACAGACATTGCAAAATCTAGATTATTCACCACGTTAAACAAGTGGCAACACCAATCAATGTCTTAATACACAAATAAAATATTAAAAGATAAGCAAATTTATTATCTTGATGATTTGGTGATAATTTTATACTTAGGCCATGGGCCACCACTCATCTGTATACCCTCAGCGATGTTACACGTATACCATATCCGCATCGAAGCTGAATCAGATGATTAAAGGAAAGAAAAGCTGAGCTAGATTGACCTTCCAAATTTGAAGTGGCAAATAGAATTTTATTATCAAAAGAAAAACAGGGTAATTGGGAGAACACTCTAAAATATTCAAATCCATACGAGCAAAGCTGGCTTCGATTACGATCACCAACAGTTTGAAAATAACTGCACCTGTGCGGTATATAGCTCATGAATCTAAAAAGGTGCTGCTTTTTTATTCATTTTTTATAATAAAATGTACAATTTTTGTGATTGGGATTTTCTGCTGTTCTTTAAGACCTGAAAAGCAAAAAATCCCAATCCTTTTAAAAACATTGATTGCGTTGAATTTCTTTTCTTTTTAAATAGAGGGAAAAGGGTATTAAAGAAAGCTTATATAAAACCCTGCCAAGAAAGGGGGGGAAAGAAAGTAATAAAGAAAATGGTAGAATATTTTATGAGAATTTAACACACACTCGTTACATGTACCTCATGTGAAGTGGAATATTGGACCATATAATTATTGTGTTTTGGAAGTATACGCTGATTTTGGGGATAATCCTGCTTTGCATTTGATTGATATTAGAAATAACCAATTATATAATAGATAGATTTTGAATAAAAAGTGCCCATCATTTTTAGATGTGCACATAACATCTAAGGGTGATGTAATGGGTCTCCAAATTTAAGAATTTAATCATTACACATCCTCCACAAACTGCATTGTTGCTCCACTTGAAATTCTTTCATCACATCATCAATTTAGCATGTGTATCACTGCGGTTATTATTATTATTATTATTATTTTGGCTTGATTGATAAAAATGTCACTGGTGATTTCTGCCCGTGAAAGAGAAGGAGCAACATAGAGAGAACAGAAATCATTTCTCCACTTCAGGTATGGATGTTGTTGGGCGTAACATAGAGAGAACTTAGATCATTTTCCTACTTCAAGGTGAAAAACAAGATAAAAAAAAGAAGGAGATAAGTTGATTCGATTTTAAATTTTAACAGCAAAATAAAAACGTTACGATAATCGTGGATTAATTCAAAGGAAGGGATTCTTCGTGGTTTTCATTTTATTTTTTTTGTAATTTTGTGGTTTCTGCCGTGTTCAATTATATCAGATTCAATAAATTTCAAAAATTATATTCATCCAGCAGAGTTATCATGCCATTAATCATTGATTGGATTTAGATTCAAATATAAATTCAGATTGTAAATTACGCAAGGGGAGGAGAGAGAAAGAGTGTGGGAGGTAGTAAGGAGAAAGAAAGGAATAAATGGTTTATCTGTATTCATATATATAGTGTTCGCTTTTTCTACAATCAATGTAGATAATTTATCTATATTGAACCCAAAACGACGCGTTTTGAGATGAAAAGAACCCAAAAATTTATGGTTTTTGAAAAGCCATACATATAAGCCAATGGCAACTAATCTAAACGACATGTAGAAATGATAATGAGTTTGATTTTTGAGAATCATAATTTTTGAAAAGAGTGAGAAAAAACTCAAAATCAGATTAGTTGGGCTTTTAGAGCTTCATACACCAATTGATATCTATAAAAAAAGAAAAAGAGAAAAAAAAAGACATGTTTACTCTGACTAAGCGGGACTCAATATGTCCAATATGACTAAGTTACAAATTATATCATGGCTTCTTCAATTCGAACACAATTTGAATTGTTAAAAGCAACAATTAGCTAATTTATTTCCTTCCCTCTAAAACATGAAAAGCTTTAGGATGTGTTTGGTAGAAGATTTTGTTAAAGATAGATGTGCAAATGGAAGTGGTATTTTTGGATGTTCATGTTTGGTATCAAGTTTTAAAAAAATTTGCTAGGAAACTCATTTGCCTAGTATTTGCTTTTTGTGTGTAATAAATACTGTTGAATAATATCACATACAAGGTGGTATTTGCTGATAGATGGAGAAATTCAAAAAGGATTGTAAGCAAGGAGACCAAAATGATCCTGATGTTTGAGAAAATTACAGCAAACTAAAATCATATTTTTCCATTTTATTTTAGTCAAGGGTTGTTGTGGTAATTTAACCAAATTTTTCCACCTATATTTTACCTTCAACCAAACATAGACTTATAAAATTCTACCCAATTTTTCCGGTAAAATTTTGGCCAACCAAACAATTTTTTTTAATTTTCCTACCAAACTTCATTTACCACCACATCTCTACTAATTATATTTTTCTGATAATTTTTTTTTTCTCCCCTTTGAAATTTCTATAATGAGAGAATGTGGAGAGGCAATCCTCCAAGTCCAGGCCCAAATAGTTAATAGGGTGTTCTTCTCATAGAACTCTGAAATGTTACAAACAGTCCAAGTCTAACCCCCCCGATAGTCCAAGTTGGACCACATGAACTAGCCATGTTGAGTTCTAGACTTTGTGAGGGGACTCCAACTTTTTTTTTTTTAGTACAAAGGGGACTCCAAACTTTAAAGCCTCGTTTAACCGGAACATTCTCCTGTATCTTTACTCTCTTTCTTTTTTAATTTAACCGTCCTTTTTGAATTAATTTAATTTAACCTAACCTAATCATTTAAATATTACTAAGTGAAGAATTTGATATTTTTATTAGCGATTTAATACTTATCATGATATAGGAGATAAATTTACTCTTATACATATAAAAATATATAGAATTCATATTTTTTCTTTATCTATGTTCTTCTCAGGTGGCCTCACATGGGTCTCATACTCTTTTATACATGTGTATAAGAAATAAATTTATCTCTTATATAAAAAATATTAAACCTTTTTATTAAATAGGAAATCAATCGTTTACCAAAAAAATAGATAGGGAATCAACCTAGACTTAAAGGACCAAACTTAATATTTACTCTAATAATTAGTGACTTTTCAATGGTGTGTTGTTTTTTTTTTTAATAAAATTAACTTTCTAAAAGGTTGTCTTTTTTTTGGTAAGCCTAAAAGGTTGTCTTTACTATCACTAAAATTCAATTTGATTTGATTAAAAAAGCATGTCTTACATTGATATTCCATTAAAATAAGATTTGAATTGGTTTATAAATTATTTTTAAGTTTGAAATAAAAAAATAGGATTTTTTTTTAAATAATTTTTTTTCTTAATAAATGGAACCCATCATAAATTATTTTTGTTTTTAATAGTTTTTAATAAAATGAATTTAAATATTAGGATAAGAATTGAAAAAAATATAATATTGACATAAAATAAAAAGAAAATAAATAAAAAACAGCAAAAAAAAAGAGGTTATTACATAAACACCGACACATCAAAAAATCTGACGTGTCGTGTCCGACACTTTTCGACATTCCAACATACGTTGCAAAGACTCAAAAAGGGTTCAAAGTTGAATTACGATTATCATTTTATTGAATTTAATGTAAATATCTGTGATATCTTATATTTCTTTACAAAATTAATGGGTATTATAAGTTTAATTTCATCTTTTTATTAAATTATTGAGTATTAAATAAAATATATACTATATAAATTAAAATATTATTTAATATCAAAACGTTTCCGATATATCGAAATCTAACTAGAATTATCATATTGGAATGTCATGTAGTGTTTATGTTCCGAGTCGATGTTAGTGCAACGTAAATTACAAAAGGTATAAAATTTATAAAATTGTAGTTAGATAAGATATTTATGGTATTAATATTAATTTTAAATTTGAACAAATATTTTTGAATATATCGACAAGGCATGACAAGTTCAAGTAATAAATTTTTGGTGGTTAAAAAGGTATTTCATGTTAATTGTTGAATAGGTTCGCTCGTTCTATCTGGAATAAGTTAATACAACGTTGTTTTGAGGCAAAAATTATGTTATTTTTGTAATTTTAATTTATTTCAGGGTTATAATAGTTTTTATATTTATAATTTTTTAAGATTTCAATACTAAACAACGTTGTTTTGAGGATAAATACTTATCTGCATTAACTGCATAAACATTTTTTTATGGTTGAATTTATAAAGAAAAAGATGTTTAATGAAACAAATAAAAATCATATTAGAAATTATTATTATATAATATAAGACTTTCGAGTATTCAGACCAATTGTGTGAATGAGAGTGAGGTCGCTTTAGCTGGAGTCTGGGCCATCGTATTAGGGTTTGCACTTGCAGAGATGCAACCTGCCTCCGTTACCGAGGACCTCACAATAGCGTTATTCCTCCTTAGTTTAGTGCGATAACTCGTGGAATCGAAAATTATCGTCATTATCGTGCGATTCGGTACGTTATTCTACTTTCATGTTCTCCTGTGAATGTTGATTCTGATTGCTTTTTTTTTTTTCTCCCATTTATTTGATGGTCTAGCTGTTCTTGGTGATGATTATATTTGTTGAATTACTTACCTGGATTCGGGTATTCTGACCAATTGTTAGGGTTTATCTCGTTTTTTTGTTTTTTAATTCCAGATCAACTTAATGTTCGCTTTGAGGTTGTATATAATCAATTTTATACATGTATTTTATGGTTAACTATGAGAGCTTTCAATTTAGTAAGGTAGAAAGAGCAAGTTGTGCGTTTGGCACTTGTCTTTAGGGGAAAAAACAACCATTTGAATGGCATTTAGTCTGGAATGTTATCCTTTTCTACAGAAAATTTGGATAAAGCGCACATACAGATCTGCAGAGCTTGCTGTTGAGTACTGACAATAATATGTGATGCCACAAAACTTTTTGACTATATAATTTTTTCTGCTTTTGGAGAACTTCTTTTGAGAACGTAGCCCGTGGTTCAAAGTGTTTTGTGTTAGCTGACAATTTACATGCACATGAAAGATTTTTCATAACAGCAACCGTTTGTATTCATTGCTGTAGATTTCCGATGCTTAATTATGTGTAGTTGATAAAGGACTTAAGCATGTTTGGTGGGGGTTAAGTTTAATGTATGGACTCTGTTCTGGCAATTTTTCAAGTGTTAGCGTTGAAAGTGGATTTTTTTTCCCAATTGCATTTATTTTTGTATGTGCGTATTAGTCTATGGGCCTATGGCATCACGTACCTGTATCAGTTTTAGGTTCCAATAGTTCTTTAAGATAAAATTAATCAGGATAAGTATGCACTGACACCTTAATTTGAGACACATGCCAAGATGCACATTTTTCTTTTTTGAGTATTTTATTTATAGTTTGACACCATGGGGAAACATCACGATGTTGTCAGAGGATCTCCATGAAAGAAATGCATGACAAAACTCTTATTGTTGGGTTTGAGTTGTTGCTTATATTTTCGATGAATGGTTCATCACTAAATCCTAGTGGGAGTTTGCTAATGTCAAAAACCCAAATAACTAGGTACACTTGGGCAGGTTTCAAAGTAATATGTGTTTGTAGTCACTTCATATTTGAAAAATTAGTTTTTATTTGATTTTTTAAAGTCAAAACAGTTCAAAAGAATTCCTTTGTAAAGTTGATTTTAAACTACCCATTTTGTAATTGAATCTATATTTTACTAATTCCTCTCCCTTTGGTGGCTTCTTACTTCAACATTTTTCCCCTAAAAAAATGATAGACCATGATATAACGAAAAATAGTTAGTGTTAAACTGATTCATAACCAAATATTAAGAAAACTAAATATATTTTGGAGCTAGTTCAATTTTATATTGATTTAAGTAACTTGTTTAAATTTGAACATTAAGAACCAATTTCTAGTTTACCAAACACCCATAGTATTTTGTGAGGGCTAAGAGAAACTTACTGGACTGGAAGTGATGGGTCACACTGGATAATATATTCCCCTTTCTAAGCTAAGGCTGTCGTCACAGTGGCAAGATTTGTTAGTTTCCATTAGGGAACCCTCAGTTTGTGAAATTTATGTTTTTGTTTTTCACTTTCAGTTTAATTCTCTTGATTTAGGAACCTAATGGAGGAATTAGTAACTAATTCATAGAGCATAAACATAATTTGCTATGAAGCATGGACATTGACATGGACACAACATGAACACACGGGCACACACAATGTCCAAAATATAAGAAACCAAGACATGGAACTATATATGTGTGTGTGTGCACAAGTCAAATGAAATTAAATGCGAGCAATATAAAAAATACTAAGGGACATCATTTTATGATGTAAGCATCGGCTTACATTTTCCTTGGAGAAGGTTCTCTAATATTTTGTATCTTTTAAAGAATTGTTTATATTTTAAGCTGTTTTCTGAAAGTTAATTTTTTTTCAAAAAAAGAGCAAATTTTTTTTTTTCCATTAGCCCTGTCCTTTGAAGTGGAAAGTCATATTTAGGTGTCAGCTGAGGGTTTAAATTGTGTCTGGCATGTGTCATATGACTGTCAAACCAGTGTCAATGTTGTGTCTGACACTTCGACACTGCAAGAAACATCAAACATCAGTGTCAATGCATCATAATTTGTAACCTTTGATGTAGAGCAAAGAGTCGAATATGTTTCTACTAAGAAATAGAGGAGGTTTCAAAGCAGAAAGAATCAAACAAAGCCAACGGCTTGTTCTTCTGGTATAAAAACTAGGAAAGAAGAAAATTCTTCTAGATTCTTCTGGGTTTAATATTCAAGTAAGGATCTCTATACAAAGGTTGAGGTTTAGCTTTTATAGTTCAAGCTTAGAGCTTCAAATTACATGACCTCCAACCATTACCTGTTACAAATTCCAAATTACAGTTATTACATACAACTTACTAGAAATCAAATTGCAAGAAAACACTCCCCTAACATAATTCCGGACTCTTACTACTTACGCAAGCCCATTAAGGACCTTACAAATAAGACACTTAATTAAGATAAATCTGACTTAAAATGCTACCATAAACAGAAGCCACAAAAATCAACTAATATTTCTTGAAATTATAAGAAAACCCTAATTTTATTTAATTTCTTTTCTACTGCTCTTACATCAATCTTTTTTCAGCATTATCAAAGTTAATGATATCTTTCTGGAACATTCTGCAGGAGTTACCGTAGTAGTATGGGTGAGTTTACAATTCAGATAGGCAATGACCTTGTTAATCAGCTTGTTGATGATGCGGTGGTAAAGAAGAAAACTAGAAGGATTAGACGTAAGGGGCCAAGAGGGACTGATAAGCCCCAATCAAATGTAACTGGAAAGCCCGAGAGTGCAGCTGCTCCAGGGTGGCCAGTGCAGCCCCCTCTGTTTCTACCTGCAACATTACCTGTACAACCTGCCCATTCAGAGTTAGAAGGCATTCAGTCTGTGCTTCAGGAAAGTGAGAAGGTTTTGGAAAGATTGCAGAAGCAGGAGGAGAACATGTTGCAGGAAGTAACCCAAAAGGCAAAGGATCTCCATGATAAAGAGTATAAGCTTCCAAACCCAAAGCCTAAGCCTTGCATGGCTGAGAAGCTTGCTTCCTTAGCATGTTACAAGGAACATATCAAGGACCCTTTGAAGTGTGCTAATCTTGTTACCAGTTTTGCAGATTGCTTGCGAAGGTTTGGCCGTTTAGGTGACAAGTTACACTGAGAAATGGTTTAGAAGGAAATTCGTATCAATGAAATGCAAATAATCTAGTAAACTACAGACTGACAAATACTCATTTTGTTACTGCCAATTTTGTTGAATCTTTCGTTCCCAACATTAAACTATGTTTTGAAGCTCACAACAGGTGACATTCTTTGTTTGGAATTTGAAGATTTTCAGTTATTTGTGTGCCCCCACATGCTGTGCTTGTTTGTGCACGGAATGCTATCAAGGGAAGTATGTTCCAAGTTTGTCAGTCATATATATAAACATCTAATTCGAAAAATAGAGATTAAATTTGGAAACTTTTATTTTTGTATCTATTTATTTGGTGAGATAACTGGGTCAAAGACTCAAAAGCTGTTCTTACTGAGTAAAGGTAAGAAATAAGAACTGGAAGCGCTTGACTAAAAATATGAAGGCAGAAGCCAACACCGAAATTGGCTTACGGTAAACGTGCTTCCAATCAACAGACTCAAAGCAACAACCTTCTGCATTATGTCCTTGCATATAGAGAAGAACGGATGATTAGAATCACAATTCATAAGTATTATTACATGGAAATGGATTTTCTCGCGTTAAAAATAAATATGATTATGTAGAAAAATCACAATCATATAAGAGTGATATAAGAGTGAATTAACGGTTATGATTTTATAATTTATTTTAATGTTTTTTCTCTTTTTTTTTATCTTTATTAATCTATCTTTATATAGTTATAATATTTTATATGATCATATCATATATTTTTAAACACCAGAATCCACTCCCATTATTACATAGAATGATCCACCCTTAGCAGTTAGCACTACTAAAATTCAACCACAAGCTGCCTGAGAACCATGATCTCTCACTGACTCCAGCTAACTTTGCGAACCTCGCTAATACCAAAGGCTTCGAACGACTCGTTAGGCACCTTAAAGGTTAATTCACACTCCATTATGTGAAACCTAATCATATGTCAAATTTCATGGTCATTGTGTTTCTGGTTTTTAAAACCTTCAAGTTCATACAACGCCGCCACAAGATCATACCAACAAAATCATTCTAAATTAAAAATCTTAGTTTTAAAATTGAAATTCTAAAACTGCGTGTCACACAAACTTGAGATGACCAATTTTCCTCTGAAAATTGGTAAGAAGAGATTCCTTAGCCACAAGACAGAGAAAGGTCCTCTCTCTTTGGGGACTGCTCACCACAAAATAGCCTTGAAAATAGGCTTATTTTCATGCATAGGGTTTGGCTCAAGCAGTAAATGAACATTAATTTCACACCTAAAGCGTGTGGAAAATTCTCATTAGACAAATTATACATATGCACTCCAAAACTTGGCTTGCAACAGCCAGTGGTTAATATTGCCGTTAAAGTTTATCTTTGTTGTGATCATCCAAACAATAATATCTACGGGGAAAGATATTGTAACAACCAAACTAATATTACTACTACAGTTACTACCAATCAATTTTATCATTAAATTGATTATGTTAATCCAACAGTTATATTTATTTTCATCTTTGTACGGTTATGATTCTCCATATTTAATACTTTATATTTATTTTCACCTTTATATAGGAACCTTTATATGGTTATGATTTCTCATATTTAATGCTTTCACATTAAATATAAGGATTCATAACCATACAAAGATGAAAATAAATATAACCGTTGGATCAACATAATCGATTTAACGGTAAAATAGATTCATAGTAACATTGTAACACTAATTGGTTGTTACAATATTCTATCCAAATATATATTAGTTAAAAGCCGATAAATAAAAACTTTTATATTATAAAAATTAATTTTCTTATCATGGTGACGAAATTTTTCACACTTTAAAATGTGAAATTAATTCATGCTCGAGCGTCGATTTAATGATGGCTATAAGATATGCAAATAAATTTCACTTAACTGACCAACTTTCTAGCAACTGTTAGGATAGGATCATATTTGCATTTGAATTGTTGGATGATAGTATTATTTGCATTTATGTTTAGATTTGAATTATTAGGTTATTATTTACATTTAAGTTTAGATTTGAATCATGACCTTACTATTTGTATTTTGTAATTTTGTATAGTTGTCTTATTCATTTTTGTACGGCTTCTCGTTTGTATTTATAGGAAGATTCAATCAATGACAAAAGCAACCGGTTCAGTGAAAATTCTATTATGGTATCAGGAGACTGACCAGTGACCAGGGCCTGATCTTCCTTTAACATTTTTTTTTTCCTTTTTCCAACGCGCAACCTTTTTATCCTTCATTTATTTTCCTTTTGTCCCTCAACATGGCTCTCGATGCCTTACATAACAGAAATCTCAAAGTTACAGATCCACGTTCACCTTTCTATGTTGCGTCCTCTAACAACCCAGGGATCCTATTAACAAATGTTCTGTTACAAGAGGAGTCCAAGTGTCCAACTATGACAATTGGAGCAAGTCCATGAAAAATGCATTGAAGGCTAAAAATAAGCTGGGATTTATTACCAGCTCTATCACCACACCAGTCCTATGCTTGGATTGTCTGCAATTCTATGATCACTGGATGGATAGACAAAACCATTGATCCGCAGCTATTCAACCATTTATTCAATACTTTGACACCGCCAAGCAATTGTGGGATTTGCAGGAACTCACCTTGAAGAAGCCGATTGGACTAATGGGGTTTATGTGTACGTACCACCAACAATGCTCTCAGGTTTATGCAATGCAGATTTCTGATGAAGATCATTTGTGGCATCAACGTCTGGGCCATCCATCTACCAAGAGTCTCTTTTTAATTCATGTTGTGGATTCTCTTAATGTTAAGACAAATAAATTTGCTTTATGTGATGTATGTCGTCATGCTAAGCAAACTCAAAATGAATTTCCTTTTAGTTCTACTGTGAACAATGCTTGTTTTGATCTACTCCATTGTAATATATGGGGGCCATATAAGACTGCACACTTATCTGGGGCACATTATTTTCACACCATTGTTGATGACTTTAGTCGTGGGCGTGGGTTTTCTTAATGTCTGAGAATAGTGAAACTATTCGTCTCATTAAAAATTTCATCACCATGATAAGAACTCAGTTTGGCAAGCAAATAAAATCTTTTCGTACTGATAATGGATCTAAATTCCTTTCTCATTCACTTTGGGAAACTCTAAAACAACATGAAATTCTCCAACAAACGTCTTGTGTTGGTTCATCTCAACAAATTGGTCTTGTTGAACGCAAACATAGCCACATTCTCAACATTGCTCGTGCATTACGTTTTCAAAGCAACCTGCCCATTGAATTCAAGGGTGATTGCGTACTCACAGCGACATATTTGATCAATAGGAGCTCCACCTCCCTCTTGCGTGGCAAAACACCAAATGAGATTCTCTTTGGCACACCCCCAAATTATCATCATCTCAAAGTTTTCAGTGGCTTATATGTAATGCACAAACGATCCCAAAACCACGTGATAAGTTTGTTGCCCGCTCAAGGAAATGCATCTTCATTGGTTATCCTTTTGGGAAAAAGAGTTGGAAAGTTTTTGATTTGGAGACTAAAGTTACCTTTGTTTCACGAGATGTCAAATTCCATGAAACAATTTTTCCACACGCAGATGATCGAAGCTCGACCAACTGTCTTGCACTAACTTTGCCTTCTTCTTACCCAGTCTCTGATGCGCAGCCTGGTGATTCATGCGACGACACAGATCCATCTCACATCACCACTGATGCTATTGTTGCACCCGAAACAACCATTGTAGTAAGGGGAGCACTTCTGATTTAACTACAGCCAAAGTTCAGATCCTGCTCCTTGTGCCCCCAATCCTGATCCCGTCACGAGGCGATCTCAACGTGATCACAAGGCACCCACTTACCTCCGCGACTATGAGTGTAACCTTATTGGTACACAACCCTATTCTCCACAATCATCCTTTTCAATCTGCACTTCCGGCAGTAGGTATCCAATCACTAATTATGTCAGTTACTAAAAATTTCTCCAAAACCTCGTTTGTTTTTTGTTGTTGTTGTTAGCACAGTAAAGAAGAAAATTCTTGAAAGGATGCTATGGTTGACCCAAGATAGCATGCTGCTATGATAAGTGAAGTTGATGCCCTCGAAGCAAATAAATCATGGATCTCTCGGATTTACCACCTGGCAGACGTGTTATACCGTGTAAACGGGTGTACCGGGTTAATTACAGCTCATATCGTAAAGAATTACTTCAACCCAAAATCTTAAAGTATTGAGTAAGGATTTTTTCAATGGTTTATATTATTCTCTAACACATCCCCTCACGTAAGAGCTCTTTGAGTTTGAAGTGTTGATTATTGCATAGGTCCAATTTTTGATTTACCTTATGCTTATTTAATTCCACAAGTGGGAGGCGCGGTATGAATCGAACTCGTGACTTTGTGGTCATTGAAACTCTAATACCATGTAAAGAATCACTTCAACCCAAAACCTTAAGTTATTGTGTGATGGTCTTTTTAATGATTTATGTTATTCTTTAACACATATGGCATGGTGGAGCATTACAAAGCTCGCTTGGTTATCGATGGAAATAACCAAGTTGAAGGTGAGGATTACACTGAAACTTTTGCTCCAGTCACCAAAATGGTTAGTGTCAGATCTTTTCAAGCTATTGCTATTGTCAACCGTTGGAAATTACACCAACTTGACGTTAATAATGCCTTCTTGCGTAGAGATCTTCAAGAAGAGGTTTTCATGCGTCTGCCACCAGGTTTTTCCCCTTCAGTATTGAAGGTTTGTAGATTACGCAAGTCCCTATATAGTCTTCGCCAATCACCATAAAATTGGTTCGCAAAGTTGTCCTCTTCTCTCCTTAGTTATGGTTTCATCCAGTCCAAGGCAAACTATACATTGTTCACTCTGAAAACAAGAAAACATTTTTTTGGCTTTGTTGGTGTATATGGACGATATCATTTTGGCTGGCAATGACTCTGCTGCATGTGCCCAGCTCAAAGCTTATCTTAACTCTTGTTTCAAAATAAAGGATCTTGGTGCTTTTAAATATTTCATTGGCATAGAAATTGTAAGGGCGCCCACTGGCTTGTTTTTAAGCCAATGTAAATACGCTATGGATGTTCTGATAGAAGTTGGTCTCCTTGGATGTTGCTCATTTGAACTTCCTATTGAACAAAATATCTGCTTAGCCTTAGCCTCCGGTTCTGATTGTGATGACCTTTCTCGTTATCTTCGCTTAATTGGCAAATTGGTATACCTCACTATTACTCGGCCTGATATTAGCTATGTTGTGCATACTTTGTCCCAGTTCATGCAATAGCCAAAGGCTGAACACTATAATGTTGTCCTTTGTTTACTGCGCTACATAAAATCCAGTCCAGGCCAAGGGTTGTTTCTCAGGTCATATATTAATTTCAATTGCATGCTTACTGTCATTCTGATTGGGCTAGCTGTCCTATTACTCATCACTCAACCACATGGTATTTTATCACGCTTGGATCTTTCCCTATCTCCTGGAAAACTAAAAAGCAGGTAACAGTATCACGGTCATTCGCATAAGCAGAATATTGAGCCATGTCTCCTACTACTACAGAGCTCATCTGGTTAAAATTATTTATGTTCTCTCTTGGTGTCTCACACAAGCAGCCTATGAAGCTCTATTGCGATAATCAAGCCGCAATTCACATAGCTTCTACCCCAGTGTTCCATGAACAAACAAAGCACATAGAGCTCGACTGTCATTTTATAAGAGAGTATCTTTTAGCTAAAAATATTGCTTGTTCGCATGTTCTTAGTGAATTCCAGTTGATCAATATTTTTACCAAGACACTTGGCAAGAAGCAATTTTGTTTCATACCTAACAAGTTGGGCACTTGATGTCTTCATACTCCAACTTGAAGAGAAGTGTTATGATAGAATCATATTTGCTTTTGAAATATAGGATGATGTTACTATTTACATTTATGTTTAGTTTTGAATCATCATGCAACTATTTGTATTTATGTTTAAATTGGAATAGTAACGTTATTATATTTGTATTTTGTATTTTGTAATTTTGTATAGTTGTCTTATTCATTTATGTACAGCTTTTCGTTTGTACTTATGGGAAGATTCAATCAATGACAAAAACAATCGGTCGAGTGAAAATTCTATTAGCATCCACCGATTAATAAGATTCAATGGCTATGATAAAACCCAATACCATCTTGGACCGTGGAGAAGCCATGATGATGCAGTAGCAAGCTTAGAGTTGACTTAAATGTGTTATTACTTAAGGGAGAATATATTAAAATATATAATAACTCTTTAAAAAATATACTCTAATTTACTATATATGGCTAAATCATAGATTAAAAATTTATTAGAACGACACTTTGATATTTACGTCATGTTATAAAACTGAATTTAAAGCATTGACTCGGTTACTTTTGTCATTTTGTGTATCGTATTAAGATGCCTGAAAGATTGAGTATTTATGGTTGTTAATCTTTCCATTTCTGATTCTTTTTAGATTTTTTCCCAATTAACTCATTTTAGAAAACGTTTTAATATTCTTGCTTTTTTCTTTACAGATTAGGTTAATATTCCGTTTAGATTAATTTCAAACAAATTGATATTAAAATGAATAATGTTAAAAATTAATTTATCTCTAGAAATAAAATAAACTCTTCATTTAATATTTAAAAATTAATTTTTCATCTTATTTTTTTTAAAAAAATATTATAAAATATTATTCTATTAATTATTTAGTTTTAAAATAAATTAATCTTTTAAAAATATGAAATTAGCCCTAAATCTATCAATAAAGAATTATTGTGGTGGTGAAACAAACAAGCACAAGAAGTCATTTGCTCCTGGCCATAGGGCGACGTCGTCCACAAAGTGATTTCATATTTGTCTTTTCCCTATTTATCCATTTTATTGCATGGCTTAGCTCTCTATTTAATTTTAATTCACATATATATCATCCATAACTTGTAACATATGCTTCAGCTATTTTTCCCTTCTGAAATCTCAATACAACAATAGCACAATGATACTCTCAACTTTCTTTCAAAACCTGAACCTGAATTTTAAGGATTGCATAAGCACAACCTTGGTTCTTGCTCTCTTAATCATTTCAGCGGTTACTTGGTACTTCCTCAAACCCAACACCCACCACAGGCTGCCACCTGGTCCACCTGGCATCCCCTTCTTCGGGAACCTTCTATCCCTCGACCCGGAACTTCACTCTTACTTCGCCGGGTTGGCCCGGACCCATGGCCCGATTTTCAAGCTCCGACTCGGGAGCAAGCTTGGCATCGTGTTGAGTTCACCTTCCACCGCTCGTGAGGTTCTCAAAGACCACGACACCGTTTTCGCCAACCGTGACGTGCCCGCCGCCGGCAGAGCCGCCACCTACGGCGGATCCGACATAGTATGGACCCCGTACGGTCCCGAATGGAGGATGCTGAGGAAAGTGTGCGTGCTCAAGATGCTAAGCAACACCACCCTGGATTCCGTGTACTATCTCCGCCGCAAGGAGGTAAGGAAAACGGTCGGGTATTTGTACAGTCGGATCGGGTCTCCGGTGAACGTGGGGGAGCAGGTGTTCCTGACGATGCTGAATGTGATAACGAACATGATGTGGGGTGGCGCGGTGGATGGGGCGGAGAGGGAAAGCTTGGGGGCGGAGTTCAGGGAAGCGGTGGCTGAGATGACTCATCTTCTTGGGAAACCGAACTTGTCGGATTTCTTTCCCGGGTTGGCCCGATTCGATTTGCAAGGCGTTGAGAAACAGATGAATGCGTTGGTCCCGCGGTTCGATAGGATATTCGAAAAGATGATTAGTCAACGACAACGGGTTAAGATGGAGAAAGAAAGCAAGGATTTTCTGCAGTTTCTGTTAAATTTGAAAGATGAAGGAGATTCCAAGACACCAATGACCATGACCCACATTAAGGCACTCCTCATGGTATGTTCATTTCAGAAATTCCACTTTCAAATTAAATTTCGTGTCACTTTTTTAGTTATCTATCTTTATCGTTATCATGTTAGTTGTCGTATTGTACCAACTTATTAACATAAGAAGCTAAAAATAGAAAGTATGTATAGTTTTGATTAGTAAATTATTAGTCCAAACTTACATAGATTGTGAACTATTTGCAACGATACATTGGTTCGTTATTTTGATATTATTCATATAATAGAGCTTTAAAATGATAATTTTGAATTTTATTTAATTTACTTATATTAAATTAAAAGACTTATACTAGTTTATATTAAAATTTTAAAATTAATTATTATAGAAAAATATATGAATATTTATTTTAAAATATTATTTAAAAATATTAATAAATGATTAACTTCTTCTCCTTTTTAACTTACATTAGCATTAGGGTTGGCAAAAATGAGCTGCCAACCCGACTCGAGCCAGCTCAGAAAAAAACGACCTAATCCGCGGGTCAAACGGGCCAGCTTGCGGGTTGAGGTTTTTTTTTTAAATACAACATATAATATACAAAAAATAGACAAAACCCACACATGCTGTCGTCGTCTTTGTTCCTTCTCTAAACCTAAGTCTCTAATCTTCTCACATCCCTGTCATTTTTATATTGTTAGGCTGTGCTGGCTCTGTTTGGTTCAAAAATCTTACCCACTTGGTAGCAAGTGGTTCTAATTATTTCTTGATGTTGGTGCAAATTTGTTGTGAAGAAAATTCGAAACTAGAATATTTTGCTTTTATTTCTCATTTTGTAACCTTCTTGTTTAAGCTTATGGAAGCCACATAGTTGGTGCATTAATATTACAAATTCATTTAAATAGGCTGAAAACGAGCCAACCCGCGAGCAATTTTCGAGCCAACCGCGAACCAATTTTCGAGCCAACTCGCGAGCTATTTTTTCAAACCAACCCACGAGCCATACTTTTGAGCCAACCTGCGAGCCAACCCTAACTCGACTCGGGTTGGGTTGGGTTAGGTTTTCTGGCTCATTTTTTTTTCGAGGTAACCCTAACCCGACTCATTTTTTTCGAGTTGCATGCGGGTTAGGCTGGGTCGAGCCGGGTTGGTCCGTTTTGTCAACCCTAATTACCACGTCAAATCATGTCATAATAATTTTAAGCTTTGACTTTATTAATAGCTTGCATATTTTTTGGAGTTATATGACCGAGCAGTTTTTGTTTTATTTTGATACCATCTACAAGCCATTGTTAGTTGTACTTGAAAAAAAAATTCATAGGCAACCTGGCTAATGTTGGTATCAAATCCTTATATGGATTTAAAATTGAGAGTATATCACGAATTAAATTAGTAGTGATGAATGAAAGAGATATCTCGACATACATAGATACCCAAGATATTGATATCACACCCTCTTGTCGCTCTATCTCATCCTCTGCTCAAATACTTATGTCTCCACCTCCAATCCTGTAATAAGCGTTCAGCTTCCAAAATAGATTATCTGTATGAAAATACTCAAATCCCATATACAACTGCTATAACTTAAAAAGTCCCAGTTCTGATAAACCTTTATTATGCCTTCAAGAAACATAAAACCACTTGGACCTCATCCATTAGAACCCTTATTTCTCCAAAAAAAAAAAGTCATCAAGGAATATATCCAAGACTCCTCAGTCTCCCATCATACCTTACCATATTTCTCTACAAAACAATACATAACTCTAGAAATCCCACCATAATTTGTTCTAGAATGGCAAAAATATGGTTATACCCATCTGCATAATTTGTCTTGTAATGTTTATCTTGATGTACTTTTCTAGAGTGTTGTATTCTGGAGTGTGATGTAATGTAATTTGGCTTGTTATGCTTTCCTCACCTATAAATAGGTGACCTTGTGAACTTGTAATTGTAAGAGCTTGCCGACCGATCAATAAGAAGTGTGTTGCTCTCCAACAGCTTTCAAAAAAATTATCTCTTCTCTTTCTTAGCCTTCTAGTTTAATTTATGATTATCTCTCTACCATAGTCAATACTGAGTATGCTCTGCACTTGCCATGATATGGATCTTGTGCATCAGAAAGGTCATGACATGAAGATTGATCTTTTGCTATGGACCTATGATCATTATATTTGTGTGATGAGTCTGGTAAGGTCTCCCATTAACATAGAGGAAAAGGTTATGGGCAATTGGCTATGTCGTACGTCCTAACTTGGCATGTAAGTGCTCTGATGAATTCAAAGGATACTCCAACAGGGACAGTCTCAGCTGTGAGATTCTCATAAATAAAGTGATTCACAGGCGACCTGGCTAGTATTCTTTTTCCTCTAAAAAGATTGCTTCCTGGAAGCTATCACTAGCGTCATCAGTGGGAATCTTGA